CTATCGAGCCATCAACTCATGAACCGGGGACCAACGACTTTTACTTCCCTTCCGAAGGAAGATGTGATCAGAGATAGTCGTGATAGTCGAGTATTAGTACAAGCCACTGAAGAAGTCTGCACATTTTAGACGAAATACGCGTATCTGTCAAGGATAAGCAAATAAGGTAGTGGAATTAAATGGAAATTACTAATCCTTCTCTCTATCATTCTACAGGTATTCCACTAAGACTCCCACATTCATCAGGAGTGATCAGAGATGTTTTCGGATCAATCAGAATTCTTGGAATACCCCATAATTCCACGGAACTCCTTGTAAGTCGCTGCAAATTTTCTTAAGTTAATGGGATTATTCTGAAGCTATCTGATCGTCCTGGAAGTACTCGGAACTTCACTGAATTCATGAAACTATCTAAAAATATCTAAATGTATTAGAAGTTCTCTGGAATTTCTTGAAGATATCGCTGCTTGCTAAAAGATCTCACATTTTTCTAAACGTAGCTAAATTTTTGCATTTTTTTTAAGTTCTTGAAATCTTCATGATATAATACCCTTAAAATACTCTCACGTTATCGGGATGTTCATATAACTTTTATCACGTTTTAGAAATTCTCTCGGAGCTTTACTAAAGTTTCCGGAAATTCCCTGAGTTTCTCGAGACTTCTTTACGGTTTTTACAATTTCCTTGAAATTATTTGAACTGCCATTTGATTCTCTGATCTTTCTTTACGTACTCGAAGCTTCCCTACATCTCTTAATTCTATTGAAGATCTCGGTCCTGCTCCTAATCAAGTTTTCTATATTTCTTAAGTTCACTTGACACCTGTGAAGTTCTCTGAAATTCTAGGAACTTCATAAAATTTTCGGATACTAAAAGAATGATTCTGAGGCTTTGACATGTATTTAGAATCTTAGAATATGCCATTTTTGAGAGATTTGAAGCTTATGAAAATCTATTCTAAATTTAGAAGAAAACAACAGGATTGGATATTAAACAATATTAACAATATGAAACTTAGAAAAACAGTCAAAATGTGGGATTTTGATAAATTTGCTATAGATCCCTGATTTAGATTTTTTTTTTCAATATTCCAGATTTGGAAAAATACAGTCGCTGGAAAATTGTGTGGACTTGGAAAAATGATCAGGGTTCTGAACATGAGCATGATTGACCGCCCACGGTTGCTACTCTGTTATTGCCAGATCAGCTGTAGTAACACAGAGAACCAATAGACGATACTTGGGACTAGCAATCATCCTCAATGTGTAAAAACTTGTGATCTCAAACTAGGCAATACCGGCGTCGGCCGCGCCCGAACAAAGGTCAAGAAAGGAAGGGGCAGGAATGTGTTGTCGTGACACTCGCTTTGATGGAAGCCGAGAACACCTCTGCACTTCTACGAGGAATCACTGGGATATTGGGTAAGAGGGTAGAGTTTGCAGCAGAGTTCGTTTTGGTAAACGATAAACTGAATTGATGTCTTAACGATCATATAACGCTAACGTGCTTGGGATTGAACCCACGGTCTTCTGCTCAGAAAGCAAAAACTTTTTAATCATCGAGTTGCTGTTATTATTTTGTAGTCATATTAACAAATAAAACGATTGATAAATCTTGAATGTGACTCACGATGTTTTGCTCAGTAAGCAAAAACGGTCGTTCTAAAGTCATCGAGCCCTTGATATCACTTCATACCGCTATTCGAGTTGTTGTAACTGTTCAAACCCGGCACCGACGACGACGACAAGTTTCGCAAAATGCACGATAAATAAGCGATTTGACCATAAACCTCTTCAATATGAATATTCATATGACCGTGTTTTTCTGCTCAGTAAGCAAGCCACTGAAGGCAACGATCTTGCAAACCCGAAAACTAAAAGCTACGAAAAAGCCCCTAGGCCTTCATTAAGTTCCACTTTCACATGACGTTATTTTCGATATGAAATACACAATATAAGAATACAAAACGGGAGCGGTCACTACCCGAGTCTTGCCACTACTAACAAGGCACAAAAAATAACGAGGTCCAAAATGCGTTTCTTTGCTTACTGAAAACTCCTGTTCAGGACTAGGGCCCGGTGAAAAATCCTACTCCAGTAACGCAACACGAAAATTGTATCTACCAGCGCTACTGGATTGAAAAGATAAAAATGAATAAAAGGGAACAAACTCATCAAGTTTAGCCAAAGGCAGCTTTATCCTTTTCGAGAAACTTATCAATCTCGCGCGATTTGTAGCGCGTTCAAGCTCCTCCGGGCTAGCCCTCAGCAGGACCGTGAACAGAAAAGCTTTGATAAGGCGTCTTCGTAGGCTCCTCCGCGCCTTCGGTTATTTGCTGTCTTTTTTTAAACGCATCACATATCATCATCATCATATCATCAAATCTGCATCATCGAAGAAAAATTCAACGGAGCTGTGACAAGAATCCTAAATTTATTCTAGGATTAAGCCCTGACGAACTCTTAAAAGAATTACAAAGGAGTTGGAGGGAGAACTTCAAGGAGAATTCCTAGGTGATTCTGTAGAGAATTCTATTTGGATCAGTGGCGTCCCGTAACCTTACTTTTTACCTGTGCACCAACTTTCAAAACCAGATTTATTGCCATATTCATACTCGAATCGGTTGAAATACTTTTAATATTCCAGTTTCTTTGATAACTATCCATTGCAAGCAATATTTTAATAATTGTTTATATTTTGAGAGTTGGTACACAGGTAGATTGAGGTTAAGGAAACGCCACTGATTTGGATTGTGAGGAGGATATCAGGTGAATTTTAAGGAGAATTTAAAAACAAATACAAACAAAACTTAAAGGGGTTTCTGATAATAATTTCAAAGAAATCCAGAGAAAGATTTACAAGACAACTTTAAGCAAGATCCGAGAAAAATGACGAAGGAATCGTGTTCTGAGATAAATCAAGAGAAATGCTGGAACTTTAAATTAAATTCTTAAGAAAGTTTCACGAAAATTCAGCACATAATTCCAAGGTTCTAATGAGAATTCCAAAGGATTGCTGTGGAGAGTTTTGCGAAAGGTCAAGTAATTTAAAAAGTTTCAGATAATGAAGAGTTGAATAAACCATTTTTGAGCTGAAGAAACTTATGTTTGCTTGATTAAGCTCAAGCTGTTATTCAGCTTTTATTTTTTGTTGGTAGGGTTAGGGTTTATTGATTTTTCCCGGTTCTCCCGTCAAACCCCCGGCTTCTTTAAAAATTCCCGGTTTTCCCAGTTCGCTGGCCATCCTGGTAGTATATTTCTTCACATGTCACACCGCTACTTTTGAAATTCGCGGGTGGAAAAGGTGTACCTGGAACATATTTAAACAATCTGGAAAATATCGTACTCTGTCTCTGTATCTGGGAATATGATAAAAAATCTGGAATTCTGAAATGCTGGCAACGCTACTCAGAATGGCAGAAAGACCGAGTAGATACCACTTAATTCCACTCATTTGAATTTGTATCCATGAAGATAGATACGTTTTTCGACTACAATGTGCAATCATCATCGTTGTCACGGCAGTAAAGAAGTATCGAAAGCGATACTCTTCCATGCCCAGGGTACCAAACCATTTGATTTCAACAATTTTCCCCTTCATCAAGCCAGTCCACTGCAGATGCATCGATAACGTAATCCGCCTTATCAATTGAATATTCTAGTAACGAGGTGTACTACACTACATGCTATCAGAACCACAAAAAGCCCTGAGGGTTTCCTATGCATTGAGTGGTTTCCGTTCGGTTTGAAACGATGTTGTAGATGTGAAAATAAGCGAAGTATGGCTGAAGAATATAAGTAGTAATTACTCTTGACGTTATAATCGACGTTGCGTAGTGTTTCGTCAACAGATTAACCACACTTACCACATAATTTAACCAAACCAACGCGCAGAATACGCTTAGTGAAGCATGGATTTTCAATGCTGTCCAAATGCAAGCATTCTTCATCACTCGGTACTATGTAGGTGACAGCATTGTGTGAGGATTGTTATTATCACTCAGTTTATACAAAACAATCTGGACGATGCGTGGTAGAGACATGTATACTAATATTATGTGTTGTTGTATGTATATAAATGTTAGTTTTCCAAGCATAGGATGACTAATATAATACGAAACGTTAAATGTATGCTCATGGACTAGCGCAAACTATTGGAAACGATGCGGGTAAATATTTGATCACCACACACCATAGCAGCAACGACAGCACCTACCTACATAGTAGGTACTTAGAACAACACAACTGGTCGGAATCTGGCAAATCTCGACAAACATAGTAAAAGGTCCAATCTACATTGATCGATTATCTTCATTTATCTTCTATTAGAAGTGCGAAAATAGATTATCTGAGGGTAGTATCTGTCAGTGTTTGCAAAATGGTCTGCTGTTCATCAGGCATCACTTATCATTGCAATTCGACTGAACAAATCAAACAAGGTAAGCAGCTGTTACAGAGCAAACAACCAACTAGCACCCACTTGTAAAATCCCTTCATTTCAGCTCATTGGCGCTTTAGCAGCTAGATGTAACATGATCGAGATGGCATTGAAACCGATTATAACCAACCGACCCAACGATTCATAAATAATTCAAACCACTTTGGCTTGGGCAAACAGCCCTTCTACCAATACTGTCCCAACCAAAGGCAGCAGCCGTGCCCCATGCGTGTCGTGTCCCTTACATGTGTATTAGAACTCCGGCATCACAATTACTGTGTGACCGTGTGTAATAGCTATATCCAACCAACATGGGAGTAAATAACAATAACACACAACCGGGCGGTATTGCAACATTTCGGCCCCTGTTTCTCGAGATTGTCCGCTTCGTCTCCTGTGGCAATATTCACCGGTAGTAATGTATCTACCAGACAGCAATGATTCGTAAAATACAGACGAAAGCAACACGAACGCGCAGAAAATGAAATATGCTTCATTACTTCTGAATCAGTGTCAGCAAATACCTATGATGTAAATAAAAGCAAAGCGCAAAAAGAACTCACGTGGAAGCCGTTCTGGTTCGGCGCGTAATTATTGGCGATGGAAGCTGCAAGTGCGACGGACTCAACGGAATGCCGGACATCGGTTTCGTCGGCGTCGTCATGCCAACCGACGAGGGCTTATCATCGGTCGTGATCTGGATATTGTTGGACATTTTATTCGCTATTTCCCGCGGCGAGATTTATGCTAACAAAAACTATCCGAAATTTCGCACCCAAATTTTTCTGGATCAATAAAACACACTCTTCCGCTACTGTAACACTTTTAGCACCTGCTTGTGCGTAATACACACGACACACTAAGCACGCACGATTTCAATCACTGGGCTATTTAGCACGCCACCAACCAACACCGGAACATTCCAGGAAAGCGTCACTTTTTGGCTTGTTGTGGGAAAGGACTCTCTCCTTTTGCCGTATCCTTGCTTCCTGCTTTCGATGCCTTTGGGCTATGCTGCACAGCACACCACGAGATAATCACAAAACGCAATACACGTCGAAGGGACAAACACGATTATTCACTTTCCAAAAATGAAGGATGTATTCCTTTTGTTTTAAACGATAGAGGACAACCAGCCGATACGTGATCAATCACAAACAATAGATACTCGTGTTTAGAAAAACTCTATAGTAATTCAGAGAATAACCGTTCCGGACCGAAGATCAGCGATGACTGACGAAGAAGTTCGTTGAATCTATTGAAACAGTTTCCCGAGCCAGGGATGCCAGTATGCCCTATTATTCATTGGGATACCTAAAAATCACATCAATCGAGTATAGTTTTATATAACGTTTCCTACGACTCTAATTTCACCGCTGAAAAATTATTAAGTGATTTTTTTTTCGTAGTGAACCTCGAGAGAACAGTTATGCTCTCGCTAAAAAATGTACAATTTTTTGTTCTGTTTGCTGGTAAGAAGAAGGTCGTCCCAAAACTGCTCGACAATGTGCACAAACAAAATATGTGGTGCTCGACATCGACTGTAAAGATGGTTTACTGGTAAGGGCCACGCACAATGGATCCGGTTGTGATGTGATTCCGGCAAATTTGACAGATAATGGGTTAACGGGTTAACTGTCAAATTTGCCGGATTAAATATTGACCTACAGGTCTGTGCCAGGGAAAACAAATAACTTTGGAGGAACGGATCACAACTTTTTTTTTTCTCCCCTGTTCGGGACCTAACACTACTGCGACCAGTAAATTGATCTATTGTAGTATCGAGTGTAGTATATCCCGTGTCCTTAGTTTAGTGCATGTCGTATTACCATAGAGGTAACTCTAAGACCACTGGGTCCCGAAGAAAATCATTATTATTTTTGGCTCACTCAGTACACTGATACAAAATCCATTGGCAAAAATACTATATTGCTGGTTTAAATTAAATACCCTCACCAATAGATTTGTGCAGAAAACAATTTCATTTAATTTTACTATTATTTCTATCAAAATTACTATGCATTTTGAGCAAGCATAGTAGTTTCGTCAGAATCATAGTAAATTTTTTACATTCGTAGTCAACTATACTGAATTTATAGTAGATTTAACTGTAATAAGCGCGGTTATATTGATAATAAGTGTTTTCTGCAAAATAGTATTTCTAACTATGATCCTTGTTTCAGTGTACCAGAACAACGGTCCCAAGCAGTCCCAAGCTATTTCACTCACCCATGCATGTTCTGCATGAATCCACACACCCCTGATGTTATCTGTCAAACTTTCATAGCGAATCAAAACAAACATAGTGTAGTAATAGAATTTCAACTAGAATAGGGTACGTTAATCGTTTGCTTGGGACCAATAGGCTACTAAAGTGGTGAGCCAATTTAAAATCGTTAGTTTCGTATTGATTGTTGGTATTACTCCATCACTATTGAGAAATGATGAAGTATTCGATTTTTTTTACAGTTGCCACTCTTGCATTTATCGCAAGGATCCGAGTCTAATTGAAAGGTCCCGCTATTTATACCCTTCGGAGTGTTGAAACACCCCGACCAACCATTTCGTTAATTTTCTTTAATTTTCTATACATCGATCTTCACCATTTCATGAATAATTGTAAAGATGCTAAAAGTCTAATCGTGAATCGTTTATAAAGATCTTTCTCAAAATCGAGCTCAAAATATTGCTACCAATCGTTACCAATGTTAAAATATCGATTGTGTTGACAGATCAAAATATCGATTTCTGTTGTAAAATCAAAATATGGATACACAACACAACTGCTGATTTTATTTGTGATTTTTTATTTGCATAATTTCTAGTTTCGGGTGTACTGATTTCGTTGTTGGTTGCTAATCCTCGGGTCCACAGCTGCTGTTGATGAGCTTATCAACGACAGGCAAACACACTCTAGTATGTGGTGTATTGAAATTTCTGTAAATATTTTCATACATGAATTCAATATTTATTTGTCATATCCATCAACCAGTCAGCCATGTAAGTGTAATAGAGGTCAAAACGGTATAAATTTTCCTCATTGGGTTCCAACCCTAATAAAAAATAACCATAAACGAACGATAACCCAAATCATTGAACTATTCCACAAATGGTTTGGATGATACCCAGAACACGTCGTTAAGCAAATTAACCATACAATTTTTATTAGGGAAATGCTGAGAATCCCACCATGTTGAGCTTTTGAATAACGAAACCAATCGAGCATATCATGATCAACAACAGAAAACATCATATCAGCTTTTGTGAACAAAACTTCGGAATATCATCATCGGTGTGCGGAAAGTTTCCCCTACGCGTTAACCTCAAAATACCCAATAATGACCACAAAGTAAGCATTTTCGAGGAAAACTGGGACATTACATGTGTATAATTTTACCCATTTATGAGTAATTACAACTTCAAAAATGAGTAGTAAGTATTGATTTATGAGTAAAAATACTCATATAGGGGTAACATTTTTATTCATTTACAGGGAAATCCCAGTTTCCTCGAAAATTCTTTCTTTGTAGTCAATATTGAGTCTTTTATAGTAATTATTGGGTATTTTGCGGTTACCATGTTTCATTCCTTTATTTAACGTCGGTCTCTGTTCCGCAATCTAGTGCCAATCACCGACGGACATCGATTGCCATTCATTGACGGCAATTGAATGTGCAGGAAGGTAGCTTCCACACCTGCGTAGGATATCGCACCCATTCAACACACATGGGCCGGGACCAACGGCTTTACTTCCCTTCCAAAGGAAGGCGTGATCAGAGATGTTATGCCTCAGAACATCCCGGCGGCACCGACTGGTATTGAACCCAGGTCTGCTGGGGTGAGAGGTAATCACGCTTACCACTACACCACCGGCGCCGTTACATATAGAGTTCTCTACCACCATTAGTATTAGTGAGATGTTTCACTAATACATGCATTTTACTGGTTGAAAATAAAAAAAAAACAAACCGCTGTCAGTCGAACACTTTGACAGCTGATTTCGTGGTTGAAAATAATAAACAAACCGATTTTACAGGGCTGCGCTAGCTAGGCTGTATAAGTGAGATGTTGCGTCGAGAAGTCAATGGTAAAATCTAAAGAGCCTGAATTTATAAAGAGACGACATCTTATCCATTTGACAGGTCTTCTGCTCGATTGGAATGACTTTTCGTATGACTTTGACAGACAATCGATTGTTCCAATTTTGACATGTCGCCTCTTTATAAATTTAGGCTCTTTAGTAAAATCCATAAGCAAACGTCAGACTGTGGGTGAAATATGACGGACTTCGATCGAAAATTCGCAGAAATTGTCAATCTTGGGTGATTTTTAGACGATGCCATCAATGCCAATTGATCACTTTGTCAAGCAGTTTTGGCGTGACTTTCAACCAGCGATTTCACAGAACTGGACAAACTAATTTCTATTTTTTATGAAACACACAAATTTTGGCTACTTTTCTCGAGGTTCTAGAAGAAAAAATCACAAAATAATGTTTCATTTCAAAGTTCGAGTGGTAGTAAACGTCATTCGATCAGTTTATATTACGTTTACTACCACTGCGTTTCATAAAAAAATAGAAATTCGTTGGTCCAGTTTTGTGAACTCGCTGGTAGACAGTCACATCAAAACCAACAATCAATACGAAACTAACGATTTTAAATTGGCTCACTACTTGAATAGCTTATTGGTCCCAAGCAAACGATCATCGTACCCCATTCTAGTCGAAAGTCTACTACTACACAATGTTTGTTTTGATTCGCTATGAAAGTTTGACAGATAAAATGAGGGGTTAGTGGATTTTCCTATGTTTCGAGGGGGTCATAGGGGGCGACCCCGGCGTAGTGGTTAACATCCATACCTCTCACGCCAAAGTCACGAGTTCAAATCTCATCCCCGGACAAGTCGCGAATGACCCAAGAGTGTTAAAGTGACTATAATAATAATAATAAAAAAAAAATGTTTCGAGGGGTGAATCGATTGGCTTGGGACCGAAGATAGTACCAGAGCTGAGCCAAAAAGTGGAGCACGTTTCTTCGGGACCTTCTGGTCTCAGAGTTACCTCTATGTCAAAACTGCTTGACAAAGTGGTCAATTATGCGTGGCCCTGCAATATTTAACACGAAATCATACTATCTGGCATCAGTGGCGGAGCTGTGAGCCTTCTGCGATGTTGAGATTCGCAACCCAGAAGGAAAAATGTTAGCGTTAGACCAACGTTAGACGTTACCATGATGATCGATCTGCATGACTCGGGTCGAAATTATGCTCGGGCTGCATGACTCGAGTCGGCTTAAGCTCGACTCGAGTGTGTTCGCAGCTCTGTAACTCTTTACTAGAAATCCATCTGGATATTTTTCTACTCTTTACTCCTATGGTTAAATCCCATAAGAAAACGTCTGTGCGAAATCGCGGACATCGTACAATCCTCGTACTCAAGCGAAAATTCTCATAAGAATCTGTCAATCTCTGACGGTATAAGATGATTTTCTACGGTGCCGTCAACACCAATTCGCTTACTGTTTAGTTCGCTTCGTAGTTTCCCGTGAGTGTATCCTTTTTCCCTCGGTTGTTTTCCGTAGAATTTAAACTTTAAATGTTAGGGTGAGACAATGTCACTGAGATATGGTTAGTTGGGTATTCAGATGAAACTATTACATTAAAAAACTAATCCTGGTTGTATCTCTTTTTCGTTTGCATGTAGCACTATTTGATATTACGAACCGCACCGAGCGTTCATTCCGGGTGGTAAGCGATCCTGAAGAAGAAAAAGATGACTATACAGGATGAGTGGTACCATGAGCCCCTTCTCGGAACGAGTGTATTGTTAATGGAGCTGGTCTACGATTCAAGGTTGGATTCTGTGATGATAGGTATCACATAAAAGGTAAAATAGGTAGCATCATCTTTCTCGAAATGTAAGTATTATTGGCAATAATAACAACTATATGATATGCAAATTTGTACGATAGGTACCTGGATCAACGTTATTTAAACATGCGTATTCAATCTCGACGACATCTAATTCTTCATTTCAACACCTTTGCCTCTTCTTTCCCTCATCCTTCACCTATGCATCTACGCTTCTATGTTAAGGATCAACCTAACCCTTATTTAATATTTGGCTGATTTCAATCGACTCGCATAAGTCATTATCTAAGAGCCATCTCATCTTTATCTGTTTGATTGCTGCATGGAAGGTGTATAATTGGTCGT